AAATATATGTTTATCAAATAAAGTCTAATGTGACAACTAATCAGGGATCCCTTTAAGAAAAGATTATTATCAGGTCTATTGTTTTATGTTATTTAATAAAACTTATCAGGACGACTCACCTTGCACACCAGTCAACTCAGTTCCACTACAAAACTACTTCCCCCAGGCTTTTCACAATAGAGGCACGTTAAAGTCTCCATGCGTCTCCATATTAACGTCGCGTGTTTAACCGTGCACGTCACTGAAGATGTGTTTACTACATTCAGCAATGGCGAAAATGGGATGTTTTATTTTTACKTCAGCCAATATAAGCAGCAAAATCGCTCCCCACCACTGCAACAAGCTGCTCCAACAATAAAATTAGCTTGCTAACGCACATAGAGGTGCTGCAAGGAAAAGTGTCCCCCGGGAAACTGTTCACTGGCGGCCGTGACGAAACTTTCCGAACATGTTCAGGCTATTTAAACCGGTATGTCGGTATTCAGAAAATTCATATCATAGCAAAAATTTAAAACGGTATTCGGTACGAACCGGTATACCGGTTGACTAGTTGTTTGTTTGTTTGTTTTAATTCATGCATATTAACTGTTTTTACAGGTCAGGTCAATTCAAACAGCTGCTGCATATGTATAAAAATAATAAAAGATTTTCAAAGTAAAAGCTGTTCTTTTATTTTTTTAAAAGATAAAAACATGAGTTTAAGTTYATATTTTCTAGAAGACTTTACTCAAAGTTTTTCTAAAACAACATGAGTGTTAGGGTTCAGAGGAGGCTATTCTCTTAAATCCACTACAAAATTAAGGAAGAAATAAGATTTGTGAGGTCATTTRTGGAGCTGCTCATTTGTTTAAACCTTGAACCCCTTGGAGCTCCACGTCTGCTTCCACCTGGAGAAACACCTGTCCTGTGGGACATTCAGGTTTGAGGTATTGGGCCGGAGTTTGTTCAGAGGAGGTCAAAATGTTTCGGAGTCCTCCGAGTCATTCTCAGTAGTTCCTTCGCTGGAAGGTCCTGAGGGGTTCCTGGGACTGCGTGGTCCCCGAGCAGCAGCGCCTGAGCCTTTACCCCCCTGGTGGGGCAGCCGCTTCAGCAGGGAGCCTGGGGAAGGAGCTCCGGAGCTGCAAGGGGAGCAGAAAGGCATCATGGTAGCCAGAATGAGAGCCAGACAGTCAGCCACCTCTCTGCTAGGAGCACAAGCCAGAGCAGGCGTCAGACCTGAGGCAGAGAGACAGAGAAGAGGAGGAGGAAGGAGACAACGAGACAGACGTGGAGGAAGCAGGGAAGGCAAAGCAGAAGACAAAGACAAAGCAGCTTCCTGTTAGTTTTCAGCCAGTTTGGAACAGAGAGGAGGGAAACACAAACCAGCGCCCACAAGGTAGGCAGGAAATAACAATTAAGAGTTTTGAAGCTCATTGGAAATAATTCCTACCACTGAATACTTTGAGCAAATCAGTCTGGCAGTTTTGATGGGACCTATTTGTTTWAAAAAAGGCCCTATTTGGCCCACAGACCACTTGTTGAACAGGCCTGCTGTACGGCATCCCTGATCAGCTCATGATTCACCACCGAAGCTACGACAGGCAGGGACCATTGATATATATYACTGGATTGGACATCACGTGACCTGGGTGTGCTTCACAAGGGGTATTTTTATGCATTGAGCTAATGCTAACGCTAACCATTGAAATCAATGAGCAGAACGTAGCGCAATGCAAACAAACGCTTTATAAATGTACAAATAGTCCAAATACTTTGCTATAAACTGCAGAAATTGTTACAGTATGTTTACAAGAGATAAAAGGGTTATGTTTCACAGGTAAATATTACGCATATTTAACCAAAATTAATTATTTTAATTGTAAAACCTGTATGCTAACATTAAACAGCTTCGATGTTCATGTTTAACCTTATTTAAAATCAATTTTATCTGTTGTTAAATATATTACTTACTGATATTAAACATGAAAATATGGACTTCATTGGATTGTTGACTAGTTAGACTGCAGATAAATTCAGAAATTATGATGTAGACTCACTAATGACAGAGACTAATGTAATGATTGAACATCATAAACAAAATAGTCATGTTGTCAGACAGGTCGGTTTATTCAGATATTTTCTACATCCAGTATTTGTGTTTTTCAACATTTCCAGAGAAAATGGAGGAAAAAAACGTGTGCCAGCTGTGGGTCGGCTTCAGATACAGCCTGCATCATTATGAAACTGAAGAATAGGTGGTGTTTACATCCTGGGTTTTCTATTCGGGCACTGACGGAAGGATAGGTGCATATGTGTATGTGTATGTATGTGTGTGTG